ATTATATTATTTTTAATTATCATTATATATATATATATATATATAAAATTATTAAATGTAAATAATTTTTATAATCTAAAAAATCTTTTAAAAATATAAAAAGATAACTTATAATTTTTATTTTGATATAAAATAAAAAAATATTTATTAATTAATTTTAATTATAAAAAATTATATTGTTTAAATTTTTTAGAAATTAGTTTTTAATATTAACAATATTATAATAATAATAAAAAAATTTAATAATAAAATATAATCTGATACAAAAATGTAGATACATCAAAAAGCAAAAATAAAACTTTTTAATTATAAATATAAAATTTATTAATTAAAAATTTATAAATTTTTATATTATTAAAAACATATTTTAATTTGATAAAACAAAACTTTTTGAAAAAAAATAGATTTTTAATATTTTTCTATAAATATGCAATTTTATAAATTTCTATTAAATAAAAAAATAATAAATATTATAATATTCTTAGAAGAAAAGAAAATATTAATAATATTTTATATAATATATAAAATTACATATTTTAAGTATCTTACCTAAAGAAAAAAAAGTAAACTCTATAATAAATTTATATTATATAATATTTGTAATTTCTTTAAATATATTAATATATATAATAAATATATATTTTAAATTTTAGCAAAATTAAATCACTAATTATTAAGAAATTAAGCTTTAAAGTTTAAAAATTTGATTTTTTTACTATATAAAATTTATAAAAAATAATTATAAATTATTATTTAAAATAATTAAAATAATTAAATTCAAAAAGTTATTAATTAATACAGTTTTTTATTTTTATTTATATATAATAAAAATATTATATAAATATATTAATTATATAAATATATTAATTATATAAATATATTAATTATATAAATATATTCATTATAAAAATAGAAACATTAAATAATTTTTATTTAATAGAAGACTTACCTTCTCTTCTCTATCTAATTTTTTTAGTTGGTTAAAAATATTTTAATTAACTGATTTTGATTTATATTTAATTTTTATTCAGATTCTTTTTCTTTTTAAAATTATTTAATAAATATTTCTATTCTAATTTAAATATTATATTTAATAAAAAAATTAAAAATTAAAATAAAAAAATTTTTATTAATAGCAAAATAATATATTTAATTTTTGTATCAGATTATATAATAAAAATTTTTAATTTTAATAATTAATATTTTTATATTGAAATAAAGATAATATTATATATTTTAATATTTTTTTTTAGATTTTTAGATTTAACTTAACAAAACCATTCTAATTATATATAAAGTTAATTATATTTTTATTATAAAAAAATAACTTTATATATAATTAAAACAACTTTACTAGATTAAATCTAAAAATCTAAAAAAATTTATATTAAAATATATATTATTATCTTTATTTTAATATAAAAATATTAACTATTAAAATTAAAAATTTTTATATAAAGAGAAAATTTTATATTTTTTATATTTTTACTATATTTTATTAATAAATTTGTTTTAATATTTCATTTTTTAATTACTATTATATATAATTTTAATAATAAAATAAATAAAAATTAAAATTTTTATTTTATATATAAAAGTTTTTAATTTTATTAATAAGTATTTTTTTAAAATAAAGATTATAATTTATATTTTAACAAATAATTTTTCTATATTTTTAACAAAATTATTTTATTTATAAAATTAATATAAAAATTTTTATAATTAATTTTATATTTAATTATAAAAATTTCACAATAATTTTGTAATTATAATAACTTTATTAAATTAAATCTAAAAATCAAAAAAAAATATTTCTTAATATAAATTATAATCTTTATTTTAAAAAAATATTTATTATAAAATTAAAAATCTTTATAATAATTTATAATAATATATTACTTTTATAATTTACTAATAAAATAAATATTTCTCTTTATATAAAAATTTTTAATTTTATTAATTGACTTTTTATTTTTATATAATAATTTATATTTTAATATATATTTTTTAGATTTTTTTATTTAATTTAAGAAAGTTTTTCTAATTGCAAAATAAGTTAATTAATTTTTGATATGTTTTAATTATAAAAAATTAATTAATTTATTTTGTAATTAAAGAAACTTTCTCAAATTAAATATAAAAAATCTGAAAAAAATATCTATTAAAATATAAATTATTATTTATATTTTTGAATAAAAATAAAAAATCTTGATTAATAAAATTGAAAAATTTTATATTAAATTTGGAAAGTGATATATTATCTTTGTAAATTACTGTATATAATACAAAAATTTCAAGTTTATTATAACTTATCAATAAAATTATATATATAATTCTATTTATTATTTGTAATTTTTTTGTATAAAATAAAAAATTTTAATTATTAAAACTTATATAAAAGAAAAATTTATATTTTTTATATTTATTAATAAATTTTGATACTGTTGCATTTTTTATTGTTATTATAAATAATTTTGATTAATTAAACTTTTTTACACAAAAATATATAATTAGTTTTTTATGTTTTCATATAAAAATTATATAAAAATTATATTTTTATTGGCTTTATAACATATTAATTTTTCAATCTTTTTATAATCATCCAATTACTTTTTCCAAATGCAATAGTTATAAAAATAAAAGCTTTGATTGTTCAGATCAATATTATATAATAAAATCTGCAATTCAAAATTTGCTATATAATATAATATTAATATGATACTATTCTTCACCTACTCAATAATACTTTTGAATTATTAAATATATTGAATAGTTCAAGTTTTAAGGAAAACATACGATTTTATCTAAATATTCTTAAATCGACAATATGTTCATGTTAAAAATTCTATCAGCTTCTTAACTATGAAGTTAATACAAAATTTAACCAGTAATATTATAGAAAATGACTTTCTTGATAATATTACTGGTCAAATTTTGGATAACATGAAACATATTGTTCGATTTAAGAGTTCTTGTACCATAGTTGAAAATTTTTAAAATTTGAAAAGTTTATATTATCAATTTACAAAGAGCGCATATCATCAAAAACAAAGTAAACATAGAAGTTTATTGTTTAAATATACACGAATACAAAATACAAAAGAGAAAGTAATTTAGTGACATTACTATAAAAAAGCAGCAATAAATAATAAGAAAAGAGAAAAGGAAACAATATAAAAAATAACCATTATTAATTTTAGAAGAAACCCAACCTTATTTCAAGGATGCGAAAATTTATGGAATGATCAAGTTCGAACAACTAAATTAGAAGTAGCAATCGGTTTCGCAATTTATAAATTGCATCGAGAAGAAAATAGAAATAGCAATCGTTTTCACAAAGATTTTAAAAAAGAATTCGTAATGCGAAAGAGGAATCGAAGTTTATAAAAAATGAGAAGAAATAGGTATAATACGAAAGACCTTTCTTTTAAAGAGAGTATCTTGATATGTTATTCTTTAGAAAAGAAGAATAGAGGCGTATCCATGCTTTGGGTGACATTACAAATGATAGCAACGGCAGAGGTACCTGCACCCTCTAATTAATTTCTTGAAATTTTTCCTTATTTTGATATACCAGTATAGATCAGCGGAAGCGCAACGGCTAACCCACGCCGAATTACAAGCGCTTTAGTATGTTCCATAAGTAATGATTCCAGCGTCATGAAGGACGGAAAAAAGAACAAATGAATGAGACAAAAAAATATCGTTTAATCGTCATTTGATTTATTAAAGCAATGTTGAACCATTAGAGCAACAGGAGATTTGTGTTTAGTTGCCACCAGATTTTTTTTCTTAGAATTTCTGCTGGATTAATTGTGAATAAACCGTATCAAGAGACCAGGTATTTATTTATTTACTCGTTTCTTAGCACAAAATTTCAAAGTCAAATGATCATAGCTGCGCTATGATTTGTGCTGCGCTTTGCTTTTTTGAATGATTATGCGTAGTTTTTGCGATATTACCGCAGTCATTTTATTAGGTGTTTCACATGCATAATAGTAACTCGAAACAATTATAAATTTATCTATAAAATAAGGTTGTTTATTTACGTATTATATATATATCAAAAATGTATCTTCTTGATTTCTATTAAGAACTATCATTCGGATCCCGTTTGATCCGGTTCGATTTGTGAGTCTCTGCTAGAAACGTTAAGTTGGTTTGAATTAGACAAAGTAAGTATTATGATTTATCCATTATTTCTTGAAACTACTTTTCGTGGCATTTTTTTTAATATAATTATTACTTTTAGATTTGATTTTATTCCAGGATACAAAAAAGAATCGGACCGAGATCAATCGGAACAGATTGGGGGAATAAGAATCGAGCGAACGTTCAATAACAACCTAGTGGAAGAGACTGCGAATAGAAAGCCGGTGTATGATTGGTTTGAATTCATGAGACTGGTGCCCTCTATTCGGGTGGTGCCTTTCTGTCTCTTCATCGAATGTGTAATCCCCAAAAACCTGTTTTGATAAAAACGATTGTTGCCTTTAGAAGAAGGCTAACCTCGTTTTAAGGATACATTTACTTTCGAAAATTCGTATATACAGAATGAACAAGTTCTGACAACTAGATTAGAAGTAGCAATCGTTTTCACAATTTTTACATGGTATTAAAAGTGTTTGTTTATACCGTGTCTTTCGTTAGTTTAAATCATTTCGTATATGTTTTTATGTTCGTTTTCCGTCATAGCAATCGTATTCACATATTTAGTAATAAAAGCATTGATTTTTAATTCGTTAGAAAAATTAACGAATTGCGTAATTTATGATCAAACCAACTTTAGAAATTTGAATTCATAAATCTTCCGTATTGGACGATTATTTGTAACGATAAACACTCCTAACCAATAAGCGTTCCGACTAAACTCGATAGAAATTTGAGTAACCTCGCGGTGCAACAAACAAGTTCCAGTGACTAACTTCTCTACCCACAAAGTTCTACCAGCTAGCATTTCCCATATTCTGTCAACCAGAGCTGCAATAAATTATAAAAATATGCCTCCTCAACTTCCGATCGACATCCTTCCTGAAATATTGCGACATTTTGTCGGGGAACTTGGTAAGTGAAACGAGCGAGTACTATGTGTATGTCGCTCAAAGAGAAAAGGAAAAAAGTTTGCCGGACCGTTGATCAAGAGGTCACACCTGAGGGTAGAATGAATTAAAAAAAAATACAATGATTAACAGCCTGGTTAAAGAAAGTACAAAAAAAAGAAGGATTATACATCAAATAACATACTAATAACAATCATATTGCATCTTCCCGCGGGGACCCTTGATAATATCAATCAATCAATTAGACGAACAAGAAATTTTACACAACCTGTTATTCGTCAACCGAACATGGTGTCAGCATTCTCTACCTCTTTTATGGACTAATCCATTCCTACTGTGTCAACAGCCAGAAAACCGTGCTAAATTGGTGGAAACCTTACTCGGCTGTCTCTCTGATCAAGATAAAGCGTACTTTGCACAACGCAATCCCGATTTACCGACTTATGCTCGTCCGTCGATCGATTATTCCACCTATATCACTGTGCTAGAGGAGAAGAATGTGATCGAAGCGGTCAACAATTGGTTTGAGAAAATCCTGAAAGAGAAAAAAGAAAAGGCTGCTCTTGCTGGTGTTAGTAAGATTGGTAGTGGTAGTGGTAGTAGTACTGGTGTTGTTGGTGGTGCTGGTGATGCTGATACCACGATCGAGACAGACACCGAGATCGATAACGAGACTGAAGCTATAAATAATACAAGCAAAAAAGAAAATGATCGAAAGTACGAGGCGACTGTGCTAAGTGCCATGCTATATAAGATGTTTATCGAACGTAGTAATAACATTAAATGGTTCAATCTCGACTGTGATGCTATTAATGCCAAATGGTACGATGGCACGATCACTCATCAAGATTACATGGCGGATAAAATCTTGCAAGCTGTTGCAAATTATCAACAAAGTCTTCAACGTCTTGCCGTCTCCTTTAACAGTGGCTCAAGCAACGTCGATACTCCTGGTCTTTCCAAATTGGTGGTCGAATGCATCAAAGTCCAAGGAAGATTCTTGCGCGATTTTGTTATTGAGAATGCGGGCGGTGATGAATTTGCAGAAATGCATTACGCACTAAAACCTCGCGCCAATTCATTGAAACGTGTCGGCTACACACAATGCGATTTCTCCAAATTCCCATGGGCGGTTGGAATCGAGATCCTGTCGCAGATTGACGAACTGTACTTTATCGCTTGTACGAACCTTCGTGATAGTCAATTGAAACAGTTAGAAGGTCGGATGGAGAAACCATTCCCCGAATTTTATTACTATGTTCTTAAAGGACTCGAGTAATCATAAAGAGGTGGGGCTTAATTTCAGCATTCTTGTGTTTACTTACATTGGATAATCGAGATGGTATATACATTGTAATAACTCACTACACTTTTTATTAGTTTTAGATTTTTTGAGGTTGTGATTTATTCTTCCTTACATATAATATGTTCTAGCTAGCATTCCTTTTCTTAAAATAATTACCGTGGTTATACAATAAATGATTTTTGCTACCCCCCTGCTTGTTTAATCACTTAAATCTTTTCAAAGCGATATTTCTAGGATTAGCATCATTTTAATAAATTCCTTCATTATTGTATATTATAGCCAGCAAATCGGTGTCTGGATATATCATACACATTCACTTGTATACGTTGGGCAGTAATTTGCCCAAATTCTTGTTTGGGTATCTGATCAACCATTTTAGGGCATGCGTAAAAATACCCCTAAAATTATGGACGATCAAGCTATCCCAAATAAGAATTTGGGACAAATTACTGCCCAAAAACCCAAATCCAAAAATTAGATTTGGCCAATTGTCATTTGGGGCACAACAGAATATAATAATAATTGATTCTTTGATAACAGTACACGCGATCGATATTCAATAATTAATTAAATTCCAATAATTGTGGTATGCCTAATAATCTATGCTAGTTACCGTCATCACAACAAAAAGAAAATCCCACTTCTCTAATCAAAAATTATCTCGTACTAATTCTTCACATAATCAACAGCTCCTTTATACGCGTCTTCTTTTTCTGGAGGCGGCCTGTTTATTCTCACAATGATCGCAATACCATTTCCCCTTTGGTACTTTTTCCATTCTTACACACTCAATGTGGAACCATTCGTACGGACAGTCCTAGTAAATATCTTGATTAATTCACTATCCTTGTGGTGATAAGCCGACTTTTAAATCGAAAAATACCTCGCTATCACATCCTATCATGGTACCAAAGAATTCTTGATCACAATAGCAGTATGTTGGTTCCGAATCTTGTGGTGGTGGTGGTGGTCGAGGTAATGACATACTATTCAACAAAAAATCACGTGTATTATTTATAAAATTAATAATTAATTCAAATATTGTGAAGTGCTGATTCAATACCTTGCCGCCGTTCTTTTCTTCCCTCTGGATTTATCTTTTGTTTTTACAAAAGACCCCCTTTCCGATATATCCGAATACTCGGGAAGGGTGTGATCCGGGAAAAATGCGGCAAAGTCGTCATTTATTTGTTTTGAATAACGTTTTACCTTTTTTCAAGATCAAAATAATTAATATTTGATCATCATCGTCTTAATAATCCGTGGATCACCCAAACAAGGAGTGGTGCTTACCAAATTCAAGGCTTTCGTGACTAATATACACTTCACTTCCGAAAGTTCGATGGCTTTTTCGTAACCACTCCGAACTATTTCTTTTAATTCTTGTTCTTTTTGTAGATTTCGCGTTTTTCTCCGAATTTCACTCACTTCGATTCGTCGCCTTTTATTCAAGCGTCGTGATGCGATTTCTTCATATTCATTTTCGTCAACCTCCTTATCATCGTCCCACTCTGTATCTTCTTCACTATCATCACTATCTTCCGATGATACCCCGTCCATCAAATCCCATAATTGATTTTCCATAAGTCGGTTACTCTTTAGGATTTCTAATAATCAATCATACCGATATAAAATGCATAGTCACATTCTTTTTCCTTAATCCGCGAGAAACAGTATAGTGGTAAAATGTACCTTCAATTTCATAATCATTTTTTTGTATCTCGAGAAAAATATTATGAATCTCTGGCGAAAGGTCGGAAATATCTATGCAATAAACATAAAAGTGTCAAGAGAATTGGTTAATTCCTGCAAAATGGTAACATTTCTTGAGATCCTTCTCGAAATAGTGTACCGTTTAGAAATTCTTGCAAGTATTCGTTTACGTCAGCGTCAACCTCAAAGTCATTCATTATAAACTTATGTATAAGAGGTGTGTCAAGTTTGAAGAGTCGCGAATATAAAGTGTGATAACTAGTGCGAGGTAATGTATTTGGTCGCGTCAAGAGAACAAAATACAATGACAATTAATTATACATCATCTCGTGATACAGGACTATGTGTAATTTTGGTAACACTTTGGTAATGCTGCTGTAAATAAATAAATCACCAAAACTTCAAAAATTAAAGTGATCAATTACGGACATTATCACTATTCGCAACATACATTCTTTTTTTCAAAGTTTGCCAACGATTATAACAACCACCACGACCACGCTCCGGGAACTTTTCCGACGCGATTGCCGCCCAAGGGACTTCGACAAGATGAGAAAGTACTGCGTCGATAAGTTGATTGTCCTGCTCGGATGTCCATGCACTAGAGGGTTTCCTCCCGGTTTTACAGGTACTTGATTCTTTACTAGGAGAAGTGAAAGTGGAAGTAGTCGCACTAGAACTCCCGGTGGTAATGTCGGATGTAGTCGTTTTTATTTTTTTCGAGGTGTTTTTCTGAGGTAAGGATTCACGCGGCTTGCATTTTGATCCGCGTTTTTTGGAATTGGATGTCTGAACAATTAACGACAATATAAGTGATCAGAGAATTGGCAAACGCAAGAAATCTTTTGTTCGGTACCTTAGATTCCTCGTCTGTGATTTGCAATGAATCCGAGGGTTCTTGTTTCACTTCAATCTTGATTTTCTTTTCGCATTCGTCCATTTTCGTGTGTTTTATATGTATCTGAATATGTTTTTTTTTTTGTTTTATGTTGTGCGAGAACAAACCATAATACTCTCGCCTCTTTTATTTAAAACGATGGTCTATTACTATTCCTATTGCTATTATTATTACTATACATAAAGCGTCAATTAAACAAAAGATGATTTATTGATGGATTGATTGGTCAATTGATTCTTTGTTCTATACGAAAAAAAAAGTTTACGATACTAGGAACGAATGTTCCTCTCGAGTTGCTATTACATGTCTTGCTTTTATAGATTGATGATGTTTGCAACAGCTTTGGCATGAACCAAAGATTAATTATCTTATATTGTTCTGCATGATAAATTAACCTTTAGATATACGATGATGAGGATGATCAACGAACCGATTGTTCAAATGGCATTCGAGAATTTCCAAGGCAAAAGTCTCGTGAATTTATTTTTAGAATTCGAGTACGCATTGACCAAACTTGAACGGTTTTGGAAAATAATGGACATGTAATTTTGCTCAAGAATTCGCAGCTTTACTTACGCAGAATTCCAATTTTAGTTAGCGATAGAGCACAGTTTCGAGGTGTGACCAATCTGATAAGTTGTGTCAATAAACCTTGAAAACAGCAAGATAATAATACCGTTAAGCAGGAAAATTCTATTTATTCGCTCCGTTTTAATACACATCTCACTGTGGTGTGAGATTGTATTTAAATAAAAGTTCACTTACTGAGAAACTCGAAAAAAAAATTACATAACACAGTAACGATGGCGCCACAACTTCCTATCGATATTCTGCCAGAAATCCTGAAACACTTTGTTGGCGAACTTGGTAATTATCTTTCGGCTTTGCATCTTGCGACATCAGCGGCACTTCCTTTTCACTAACATACTAAAAAAAGGAAAAGACGTATTTTTAGATTATTTTTGAAACTAAAAAGTATTATTTAATCATATAGATGAACAAGAAGTCCTACATAATTTATTGTTTGTCAATTGGACCTGGTGTCACAATGTATTGCCACTTCTATGGAGCAATCCGTTTCTGCTTTGCCAACAACCAGAGAATCGAGTAAAGCTAGTGAATACATTTGTCTCATGTCTATCAGATCATGATAAAGCATTCCTCGCGAGTCGTAATCCCGACATTGAGATTCGACCTGAACCAACCACGAAATACGCTAAATACATTACCGTTCTCGAGGAAAAGAACATCATCGAGTCGGTGAATAGTTGGTATGAGCAATTGCCAAAACCCCCCAAAAAAGAGAAGAAAAATACTTTGGGGACAGAAGGTGGTGAAACTGCTGCTGTCGAAGGAGGGGCGGAGACCGATAATGAAAATGAAAGCAGGCGGGAAAATGAGAGGAAATACGAAGCGACAGTTGTCAGTGCAATGTTATTCAAGATGTTTGTCGAACGCAGTAATCATATTAAATGGTTTAATCTTGATTGTGATGTGATCAATGCAAAATGGTACGATGGTGCAATCACTCATCAAGATTACATGGCGGATAAAATTTTGAAATCGGTCGCAAAGCATCAGCAAAGCCTTGATCGACTTGCGGTCGTGTTCAACAGTGGAGGTACACAAGCTGATACAACTGAACTCGCGAAATTGGTGGTCGACTGCATTAAAGTCCAAGGAAGATTCTTGCGTGATTTTGTTATTGAGAATGCGGGCGGCGAGGAATTCGCAGAAATGCATCACGCACTAAAACCTCGTGCTAATTCATTAAAACGTGTCGGTTACACACAATGTGATTTCACCAAATTCCCATGGGCTGTTGGGATAGAGATCCTGTCGCAGGTTAACGAATTATACTTTATTGCATGCACAAATCTTCGTGATAGTCAATTGCAACAGTTAGAAGGTCGGATGGAGAAACCTTTCCCTGAATTTTATTATTATGTCCTTAAAGGTCTTGAATAGATGGGTTGATATGCACACATTTTTTTAATTGGATATTTTTTCTTCGTATTTCAAAATATTGATATTTATTTTATGGGGTTTTGATTCAGCGTTTTTGACTTAATGGATTGCAAGAGTAATAATTACCAATGCATGGACTAGAATTTTTCTTTTTTTGTGATTTTAAATACATTTTCTTGTGCATATTTTTCTTTTTATGATATCTCTTTTAAAATGTGAATGGATAAATGAATTATTATTAGATTTCGATATTACATTGTAACATACATACACACTCATACTTGGCGGATATTCAAAAGATCAATAAATATTTCGTATGTTCGTTCATAAATTTGAATTAAAATATTAGTGTTGAAAATCCGGGCCGTAAGTTATCTATAACACATAACGCTAAAGAATCAGAAGAGTACCAAAATCATTGGTGAAAGTACCTGATCGCAGGTTTGTTGTTACAACATTGTGATGGTTTTTCCTCGTTCCATGACTACGTACTTTTATCGAAACAAAAAAAAAACAATGCATGTCTTCCAAAGAATAATCATATAGTACCCATCGATAACGGTACATAAAGTACTTTATTGTTACACAAGAAATTAATGATTGCATTAGTTACGAGATGATGTTCATATCCAGCATAAAACTAAAAATCCTTTCTTTATAACTATTCAATAAGCTGACCATTTAATTATGAATTCCTTGAGCTTGACTACTTGTCGCGATACCTTTACCACGCGACTCGTTAAGCATGGCTAAAAAATTAACAAATATATCAAATTCTCAAAAAAAATCAATAATAAATAGATAGTACAAATACATACTTCGATGAGTCTTAGGCGTTGGTTTATCATGGCCTTTATGTGTATTATGAATGATTCCTTTTTCGCAAATTTGTTTGACTACTTCTTCAGGATCGCTTGTTCCAAAGCATTGTTCGAGTTGTTGGTGGGAAGCTCGTCCGGTCATTCCTTCGTTACCACCATTGGCCGTCTCGTAAACGTCAAAACTTTGGACACAATCAATGAGTGGGATAGATTTATCCGTTCGCCATTTCAATACCTAGGATTCGAAGTTATTTCCGTTGTTGATTTTTCAATTAACCAAAATATCCATCGCAAAACTTACTGTGTCAGCATTTCCAAATACAAAGAAATCTTCACGATGACTTGGTCCTTTGTAGATAATACGTGTGTCTTTTTGAGAAATTGACATTTTTGTATTTGATTGGTTAACTTGTAAATATTATTTGCCTAATGTTATTGTTTATTAAGATTATTTAGCGCAGGTCACTTATAAATAAAAAGTTCACGGTTTATATATACTTCATCTTTACGTCATCTCAATTTTCGCACAAGTATTATTTTGGTTAGAAAAATCGAAGTGTGATTTGTTAGTCTGACATCATTTTTACAATGGTTTTATTTATACAAGACGAGTGATTCTTGCTTTGATTATAATCATTCCCCAAATTTAACGTTAAATGAAAATGCACTGAATAGGAGCAAGGAAATAAAATCGTGTTGTATATAATACAACTACAGTCTTCCCTCTATGTAGTCACACTATATAGCGTCACGACCTCCATATAGTCACAACTGCTCGGAACCAACTCTTTATAATCACATATGCCTTATAGTCACTATCACAACATTTTTATATAGATTCCGACCTCTATGTAGTCACGTTATAACCAAAATCGATCTAAATAATTTATAAGCACACCTCTCTGTTATCACAGAAAATAGGTTGAAACCAACAATGTGACTATATAGAGGGACGATGATATATATATAGCTCATCATTATTCTCGCGAAACTAAATTTGCCAATAAACAACATAAAAGAAAACCGCATTTGTTTTTTTTAAAACATGTTTTCCATACTATTTACTTGTATTTGCTATGCTAGGAAAAAAATAAACTACCATTTTTGTGATTATTTGTTATTTGTCTTCCTAACATGAATGGATGAAACATTCAGTAAAAATGACATGCCAGGGATAGGAAAATTGATGTCCATTGAAAATGAAAATATTGATGGCTCTACACTCGTGGCTCATTATCGGTGTTTTGCTTCCGCTGCTTTTTTCAATTCATCGTCTTTTAAACATACCGATGGTTTCGTATTATTATTATTAATTAAATTCATTGTGCGTATTCTCCAAAAGATGACAATCACCGGAAACAATGAGTATCACATGTATATGAATGACGTATTTTAAGCTTAGTTAGGCTTTATATATAGTATCGAGTATTTTTGATTGTGGCGTAAAAAATCATTATTGAGAGATAATTCTATTCAGAATTGAATTTGGTCATTGTAATTTCTACGTGAAGAAACAAGGATGATTCCTACCATTATGTTACGTGAAGAACAGAAGGATGATGTTGATGACCACTAGATGCATAATCGCGACAATATCGCATTTCCAATAGATTGATAATGATTCTGTTTTGATTCGTGCATGCAGGATAAATAACGAACTGAAATTACAGTAAAAAGAAAATTTTGTTCATTGATCAATTTCTCTTGATTTTTGGACTTAAAACGCGCGTGCTAAAGCCGTTAGTAGTATTTCTTGTTTTGGTTATATTGTGTTGGAGAACAAAGGGTGCATAGATTAGTCTTTTTAAAGAAAAAGAAAATAAACAATTTCGGCCCGAATAAATTAACTTACAGGTATGTATGTGTTTTATACTAGATTTTATATGGCACCGGTTCTTCTTACTAACGTAACGATCTAATCTAGTTACGTGTATTATTTACTATTGTCTTTGATTTTGTAACAAAACCTGCATGTAAAATTTACACTGTTAATTCTTCATTTAGTACATTTAGTGAGCGAATCAACGTGGGAGAATTTAAGTGTTGATGAATTAGCAATGCTTTATCAAATATTCACCGTCACCATATGCAAGATTCATCGCTACTTCTTAACGTCGCGTTCATTAATTAGGCCAAGTTTAGTTTTTAAACTCAGACCTCAAAAACTGACGATCGAATTTCCATTCTGAAATATTCTCGTAGTAGTGACCCAAGCCATTCTTTTCAGGTGAACAGATTGATTATATGCAGTTTTTTACACAATGCCCACTCCACCCTTATTACGGAGACGTTTGTGTGTTGTGCGACTATTACTGTTACTCATCGATTTTCCAATTTGAACCATCTTAAACTTACGTATCATTAATTATACAGTAAAAAAAGTAATAAAAAAGAATATTTTCGGTTACAGTTTCTTTTACTCTCTCAACGGGAAAAAACAAACTTTTTTATTTCTTACCCACTATAAGATTATTTATTATTGTTATTGTTAATATTTTAGAATATAAAAAGTAGACGAATTTTGTAAAGAAATAAATTTTGTAAGGAAACCATTTGTTGTATATCAGGAATAATAAATGGATTACAAAGAGAGGTGAGAAGAGAATATTCTGCACGTGCTACTGAATACTACTATCAAATAGCTAAAACTTATTGAAACAATTCGTTTATAAACATATACTTTAAAGACTCGCTCAGTTCGAGGACATTCTAAGTTCAAAAGACTTGATTAATGACCCAATAATAGACTTGTACAAATTTCGACACTTATGTTTTAGAGGTGAGTGGTCGTTCGTAGTGATGATTAAGTTACCTCAGTTACGGCAAGTCAGGTTTCGTGTTTAATCATTTTCTAACAGGTCACATTATTTCGTTTGTTTTTGAAATTCTACAGGTATTCCCGATAAACCGGGTATAAGACAAAAGAGTTGGAAGGTAATTTTTGTATTTTCAACTAGAGAAAGTTAAAAGGACAACAATGTGACTTATGTTTCGTCAATCTTGACCCTTTAAAGTAAATATTTGTTGTTTATACACACAACTACCATAGATATTACTAGGATATCTACCAACTGATAAAAGAAAATGGCAAAAAACCTTATCAGAAAATAGGTCAACATATTATGTAAGTTTATTATGTATATATATGTGAACATTTCTTTTATTCTAACTACCTAACAACTCGCTTATGATATTTCTCTCTAAAAAGAGCTTCGTTAGGGATTTGCTGGCAGAACCCAGTGAAGAAGAATTATTAGAGGGACAAAATAGTGATCATGTAAATGTTTATTTTTGTTTTGAATTTGAGCGGAATTCATTACATAATAACTCAAGAATCCTCCAATTGTAATCACAGCCATTAAATCCCGCGCCAAATTCAAAATGGGCAGAATATTTCGCCGACAACATTATTCTCGAGCAAATCGACAAAGATGTTTGTCGAACCTTACCAGATTTTGCATTTTTTCAACAACCTGTGCCACAAAGTCCATTGAGTCCGTTGAGTCCGCGTCTCTCTCACTTGGAACTGATTAAAAGAAGTGATGGTGCATTCTCTTCGCTTTTTGAAAAATTAGAGAATGGTTGGAATGACGATGATAATGATCTTAGTACTCAAGATATTGATAATTTCTTGATGACAATAAGTAGCGATGTGGACGGAGTGGAAGGAGAAAATAATAATGATGATGGGTTTGCGTCACTGGAAGCATCTATAGAATCGTTATCTACATTATCACCTATATCGCCGGTGACCAACACGTTAACCACAGCACCAACATCAAGACGAACATCCACAAGTAGTGTGAAACCAGCACCGATAGATCTTGATGCTGCTTCATACGCTAATCCAATCGCGCCAATCAGGTCACGACGCTCAATATTCAGACGTGTGCAACATCTAAACAAAGATTTCTTTCGACGTGAAAATCGTCCTGCATCACCTGCACTAAGTCAAAAGTCTAATCCAGAAAATGGTGCAGCACAAGATGATGAAGAAAATCAGATCGATTTACATTGGGAAGCGATAGAACGTATTCTTTTTATATATGCGAAATTGAATCCTGGTATTGGCTATGTACAGGGAATGAACGAGATTTTGGGCCCTATTTACTATACAATGGCTAATGATGGCGACGAGGAGGGAAAAGGTAATGATTTATATCATCTTAATTTTCTTTTGAAGCGAATAAGAATTATTAATAACAATGACAAAATAATTCATTAGCTCATGCTGAAGCCGATTCCTTCTTTGTATTTACATTGCTAATGGCTGATATTCGCGACCACTTTGTACGAAGTCTCGATCATGACGACACGACAGGGATTGGAGCGACAATGACAAAAATGAATCGACGGTTACGTGCATTTGCATTTGACCTATGGGAAGATCTGGAGGAGAAATCATTGCATCCGCCTTATTACTCGTTCCGTTGGCTGACGGTGATGTGCGCTCAAGAATTTGCACTCCCTGATGTGATTCGTGTTTGGGACTCGGTGTTCGCGGATCATGATGCAGATATAGGGACGTCGTCGAATCGATTCGAGTTTTTGATTGATTTTTGCTGTGCGATGATAATGTAAGGTTTTGTGTGTCTACTTTTCGGAATTGCGCTCTGTTGGCTTTTATGTCATCAAATTTCTGTTTTTAAATGTTTTTTAATCGATAATTGAAATATGTTACTAATTCCATATTAGTGAGTATTTGTTAGTTGTTAGTAAAGCTAACTGATTTATAATTATTATTAGATGCGTTAAAGATGAACTTTTAAAAGGTGTATTCGAGGACAATATTAAACTTTTGCAGGTAAGTTATCGGCAATAAATATAACCAATGATGATTAAAATTCATGGATTAATTTTAAAAAAGACGAAAAAAATGCCTTTCTCAATATTCTGAATATGTGTGTGTTTGCGAACATATGCATGGAAATTTATATTCACATAAATCATCAATGATTTATCGGCTACTGCCCTACCGCTGCTGAAACATTGTTCGAATAAAAATTGCTAATCTAAAAACAATCTGATCAATTCCAGCATTATCCTATACAAGATCCGGGAATAGTTCTACAGAAAGCTTACCAATTGCGTGAATCACGTCTGCTCGCAAAATTAAATGGTAATGAAATAGATTACTCATACTCATCAGATGATGTAGAATATGGCCCGGATGGCGTGCTTGAAGAAGACGAACCACGTCGCGGTAGTAGTGGTCGAATGTGGCTACAATCTAACGGTCTGGTCTTCTCTAACGGGTACACGAAAAAACGATCTGATTCGTTGTCGTCAGATCAGACTAGTGCGAGTGGTCGAAGTCGCAATAATAATCATAGTAATTATTATGAAAATACTGGTACTGCTCATCATACTACTAGCAATCATCGTCAGCCTCAACCACAACGAAACAACCTGATAACCAACACCATCATCAACTCCACCTCAATTTTTAGACGACCATTACCATTCAAGTCGGCGCAGCAGCAGCCCACCTCCTTCTCCTCCGTTTCATCAACAAATTCGTCACCATCTTTTTGGCACGCCTCTCCATCACCAAACTCAAGCACAACTTCTTCCAGCTTCAACGGTTTCAACAAATTCAACAAATCCTTTTATCGCGATGGTACGCGCGATTCTTCTCCGTTGATTCCGGCTTCGGCGCAGACGCGGATGATCCAGGTTGCTGGTCAGACCAAAGCCCAAGGATTAGCATTGTTTAATAAAATGAAAGATGTGGTCGCCAATCGATCGGCTACGGCAACATCTTCACATTTAAAGAAGGCGACGACAATGTCTGCATTGTCAGCAAATAATAATAATAATAATACTGCTACTATTACTACACTATCATCCAAATCACAGTTTCGTGGTCATGATCATGATAATGATAATAGTAATAGTAATAGTATAAATGGAGGTAATAATTTCCCAAAAACTAATAATCTGAACAGAATTAAGCAAAATAATAAAAAAGAGTATTTTGCTGTTATGGAAAATAACTGATGTTTGGTGGCGGACATAAGTCGTGGTGTGTTGTGCTGTGCATTATGACGTGTCGAGAGATTTGTTCATGTGATCGCTCACATTCATGAAAAAGAATTTACTATTTTTGATAACAAATTAATGGACACAATCTTTTCTACTCTCTAATCATCGTCACGTTGGATTCGGACGTGAGTATTTTCTCGCCCGTTGATTTTCACCTTAATTTTCACTTGTTTCGGAAATAATCGGATCATCGCCTGTAGGGTATAATTGATTCAAAATCCTTATCAAATATATCCTTTTCATGTACGCTATTTTTATCACACATATCCATACAAACATTCTTATATAATATATAACTTCATTTTTAATATAATGTGAAATTTAATTTAGATGCATACATAATATTATTATTTTTCTTTAGTTAATAAATAATTGCAAATTTTACTTAATATGAATATTATCATTAATACAGCGAGCTTTATATTACAAAAAAAAGAAAGTTCTTATTGGGGATGGAGAGAGTGATGTTTAGGTGAGAAGCAAGTAAGGAAAGAGCAACAAGGTGCATAGAGATTCAAGGTAAGTGAATGATGCAACTTGAACTCGTGATTTTATGTGTGTATATGAGAAAGGGAATCATGGTGTGATAATAATAAAGATCGTACCGGATCCATGTAACGAAAGATTTCCCCTCTTCTTGGTAATCGTGTGGTGTGTCGGTATCAAAAATAGTTGAGATTACGCAATATTTAAATAAATTTGGTAATGATTCTCTATTTTATTTGTAGTCTGTGGATAAGATCAAGTTACCTTTCTCTGGTAAGAAAACTATTGGATTCGAAATATTTAGGATAAAAATCGTGCAGTAGTTAAGGGTGATTCTACAATGCGAAGAGAATAAGATGGTTTTCGGAATTTTGCACGGGTTACAAGTTTGCGAGCTCAAGGAGGTCAGCCCATATATTACAACGAGCAAATTCGAAAATGACACGAGGGTTTTACAGATCTATTGTGTTTGTATCAATTGTAAGTTATCAATGGAGAGAAATCTTCAAAATTACTTTTTTCAATAATCATTAAAAATAATTTCTTCAATACCAGATATTATTGTTGGAAGGAGATGTTCTCGTTTCTTTGGGACTTTTATGAGGGTTATCTATCTAAGATGTTCGTCATCGCTATAATTTTAAGAAGGGATGAGGATTTCTTTTACCCATGCAAGTGATTATCAATAATTTGTACTTTGCGTTTTATTTACCCGCCGCTTTATCTACTCGCCAATGATCTCATGAACACGACAATTCGGTAAGAAAGACTCGATTCAAAAACTTATTAATAATCTTACTACTTATAATGACTATTATTTTTTTATGATTTTCCTATTCGAGGTTGCCTGTTTATTTGCTGTTTGGACTATCATGAGGATGCTGATATTATTCCCGGAGGGGGCAGTGTTGTCATTGAACAGGGACATGGGCACGGAGAGGCTGGGACGAGACAGTCCGCATCCATGTCCGGCATTTTTTATGTCCGGGACTTGTCTATTAGAATTAATGCCGGCACGTCACCTGTTAATTCCGGCCAAGGGACTTTATTGCTGGCTTATGTTGAGATTAACTTGACCGTGTCAGGGACTTTCGGACATGTCCAAAAATCGCCGGACAATGTCCGTGTACAACACTGCCCGAGGTTACAGTAATCTTTATTGATTTGATAGTTGCAATTATTCATTATTTTCTTTATGATCACTCGAACTAATCTTTCTTTATTTTCCATATTTTCCATCGATCATAAATAATATGTCTTATTAGACAATTTAAGCACTACGTATTCCACCAAAGGCAATATCAGAGGCAATTATCGATCTTCGCTCATAAATTTCATTTTTTAACTTACATGTATTAGGTATCCCTCTTTCATAGTGTAACTCATCATCGACCGGATGATCTAGAGCAACAACTATGTAATTATTTGTGTATCTACGCGAGTGATATGTGTGCAACGTAATTTTGTATATGCCGTGCATAAATCTTTTCCTGTCATTAACTATTGCTTGGGATATTTGTCATCGGAACTTCTCCCTTCTTCCAATATCACAATACGAATAGAAAATATTTATTCAATAGAAAAAATACATGGACAATTATTCTTTACCAACGAGTTCAAGATGCAGTGGCAATATTTCGTCGTCGCCCATAAATCGAAATGATCAAAAAAGAAAGCATCATTCATTCCATTTCCCTTTACTTGACTTTGAAAAATTCTTTCCGGAAGAAGTTGAGTTCTCATTGCCCGCCTCTTTCTTAACCACCGAAAGGCAAAATGGACTATGTCAAGACGTGAACATGACACTCGACAATGTAGCACACAGCGCTATTCCAGATGACAAAAACTCTATCTCATACTCTTCAACCTTTAGCAATAAAAAGGTCAAACACTCTAATACAGGCACGCCAATAAATACAAAACCAATGCAAAAAAAGTCTTTGTCAAGTACTCGCATCCTCCCGAAGCTTACACGCGTGAGAAAATCTCGTAAAAGTTCGCGCACGTTACCAAAGTTTGGGGAGCAGCAAATTTCCTTATCGCCAGAGGTGAATCATGAGAATTCTAACGACTATAACAATGTTATAGTTAATACTTCAATATTCACCGAGAAAATGTCGCCATCTTCTGTTTTTGTTGGTGGATCGATAAAGATGGAGACGACGCAAACTCTCGATGAGAAATTCTTAGAAAACTGCTTTTCGTGAGTTTCATTCGTTTATTGTTTTAAACGCAAACTATCATTTGTATAAATGTATTTATTTTTATTATTAAATAGGGCTCAC